CCCTAAACAAAGAAGACCAGTTGGCCCTAACAATGGGGGATCCCTGTATAGCCACTTTAGTACCCTAAGAAAACATTCAACCTGCGCATTTCAATGGGCCTGTTTGCCCATTCTTACTCGTCCATTAACATTCAGAGTGTAACCAACAGCCCTGCTCAGCCCCTCTGCTGCTCTCTCGCCTGATAACCAGCCTCCCTTCACCGCTTTAGGAGAGAAAAGACCAGAGGGACGCAACAAGATCTGAATCTGTGAAAAACATGAGTGTGAAAATAAGAGCATAGCAGCAGCCTTGAAGTCAGATAACGAGATAAAGTCTGTTAAACACACCAGGGGGATTGTTGTGTGAGTGTTTTTTGGGGTGGGTGGGGAGGGGTGACAGAATATAAACACAGACTAAATAAGGTTTAATTTGCAACTGTAGGTGTGAGGCACCACAGGTGTGTCTGACAGCTTTAGTCAGCTGAGAGGAGCTCATCAAGACTAAATGGAGATGAGTGGAGTTGATTACATGCTATTCATTTACCTTCACTTTCTGTAATTAGGTCAACATGCATTTTTTTTATACTACTGAGACACTGGATTTCGAAAAGACACCCCTCGACTGGTTGGAATGAGAATTGCATACAGACACGAAAACATATAGACCTCACACACTAGTCCGTAACATCAAAACCACACTTTTTAGTTCCATTAAGACTCCAGTATTTCACCAACACACTGTTAGAACAACATCACAACTGCAACTTTAACATTTTATTTGATTATCATTTACATGGAAACTTTTAAAATTATAACACATGTACTTTATTGTCACAAATAAACAGCATTTGCACTCTGAACGTTCAGTTTTGAGCAGTATTGACCACCAAACATTCTGTACAATGGGTTAGCCAGAAGAGCAGGTACAGACAGGACAGTTTCTCCATTAATTTAAGGTCTGAGTAACTATACCCTGGCGTGAATGAAGGGCTCTGTTTTATCCCCCTCCCCCGTCGCTCTGGTTATTGAACGGCTCAAGCCAAGCTCAAGTACTCAAATGTGCCAAATGGCCCCTGAATGCACCCCCACTGTGCAATCAGTACCAGTATAAACAGTATTGCAGAATTCAGAGTTTAATTACGGCACTCAACACATTCCATTACTGGCAGAAGCACATCCTTCATTCAATACATACTGTATGACAATAAGCTATTTGTTTCAATTAAACTGAGATTTTTGCATATCAATCATTTAGCCATAGTTTGTTTTTAAAAGTTGGTATGCTTTTTTTTCTTTCAAACTGAATGTATTATGCCTCCTTGCAGCCTAGGGTTTATATTACTTACAATTTTACATAAAGCATATTACTGTAAATATCCAGTGACTTAACCAAATCTATTTGTGAATAAATTGTGGTATTTTTATTTGTAAGCACTTAAACTCAAATGTACTTGTTTTATATACTGTGAAATAAAAGGAAAACTCAAATAAACAGAAGCTCTGAATTTACACAGATGCAAAACAATTGCTGCAACCATTGCCTCACAACTGGCCTCTACCTGTGACTCATTAAAATAACCACCACATTTTCTGGATAAAACCCCACAGTTAAGTGATCATTATCTAGGCTGTTAATGTGAAGGACAGCTGTGAAAATGAAGACAAAAGAGCATTACGGAGAAATTTGAGCTGGACTAAAACAAATGTTTGAATTAGGAAATCGCCACAAAACATTAACCAAGTGCCTGGATGTCCCAGCGGGCACTAAATCCAACCCTCCAGACATTGCCCCAAAATGATTGTCCCTCAAGGCTCTGTGCATGAACAAGAGAGCTGTGAGGTGAGCTACAGAGAGGCCAGTGATCAGTGAAGGTGCACCAGTCAACCATATCAAGAGCTCTGCATATCACTGGCCTGTTGGGGAGAGGGGCACAAAAGCTCCCATTACTCCTAAAGAATCACATAAAAGCATAGCTGCAGCCTGGCAAAAAGCATAATATTGACTGAGCTGCAATGTGTGAAAAGATTTCTTAGTCAAATGGGACTAACATATGTGGCATGATATGTGTGGTGTAAATCACTAAGAAAATACCATTCTCAATATAAAGACTATAATGCTGTAAAGTCTGGGGCATCTTGTTAAACTAAAAGAATTGATGTTGGAGAATACAGAGAAGTAAAGCAAGAAAATATTATTTAGTCTGATACAAAACTAAACTAAAAGAAAATTCATTTTTTTAGCAGAACAGGAACACATGGTTGAATGATGTATCAGGGTGATGCTTACTCAACTCTGCAGAAAACTTTGAATTTCAGCCATTTGATTTTTAAAATGTATTAGTATCAGACAATATTTAATATTTAAAGGGGTAATTTACAGCTGGCAAGATGGGATTTTAATAAAACTTGGCTGTCTATAGAAAGGCGAAACATTTTCGGAAATCTGTGATACATGACTAGAGAAAAATAGCTGTGACTTTCCTTTTTGGCAAAAACTTCATTTCACTCAATTAATTTTTGATTTTGGTGCCGCCCCTCAGTTGATCCAAGTGTCCTTAGGTGGGAATACAAAAATATTATGGAAATTTAATGCATTGAAGTAATAATTCACCCCCAAAATTAAAATGTGTGCTGAGAATTGACTCATCCTCAGGGCATCCGAGATGTAGACGAGTTTGTTTCTTAATGGGAACAGTTTTGTTGAAATGTAGCATTACATCACTTGCTCACCAATGGATCCTCTGCAGTGAATGGGTGCCATCAGAATGAGAGACCAACAGCTGATAAAAACATCTCAATAATCCACAAGTAATCCACACCACTCTAGTCCATCAATTAACATCTTGTAAAATTAAAAGCTGCATGTTTGCAAGAAACAAATCCATCATTAAGACGTTTAATATTGCTCTTTCCAGTGAAAAAGTCACTCTGTCTGAATCAGGAGAAAAATATGCACAAATCAAACACCGTTTATAAGCAAAAACAGTCCAAAGTTCTAAATAAATATGTTGGTGGATTTTGATGTTAGACAACAACAGGGGATGGACTTTATCATTGGAGTAAGCATTACTATTGATTATGTACTTGTATTTCAACCAGAATGGAACGCCTTAATGATGGATTTGTTTCTTACAAACACACAGCTTTTCACTTCACAAGATGTTAACTGATGGACTGAAGTCATGTGGATTATTGAGATGTTTTTATCAGCTGTTTGGACTCTCATTCTGACGGCACCCATTCACTGCAGAGGATCCATTGGAGAGCAAGTGATGTAATGCTACAATCTGTTCTAATGAAGAAAAAACTCTTTTACATCTTGGATGGCCTGAGGGTGAGTCCATTTTTAAACTGTCTAGCTGAAATGTATATTTTTTGCCACTAGTGGTACAAAATGGAATTGCCAAAAAATCCCAAACAGGTTCCCAAAACACTTTGAACAAACAGACAGTTTTGATCCAAACTCGAGTCTCTGGTTGAATCAAAGGTTGACATGACCACTCAAACAAACAGTGTTTTGAAAAAGCCCAGTGTTTACAATCTTTGAGGAAGTCAATCTACAAATGGATTTGGATGGTTTTCTGGGAAGCTGGGAAAGGAGGCACAAACACACAATAAATAAATAAATACATTACACTCTTCATCTTCAAAATGACTTTGAGTTTAAGTGCTTTGAAATAATACAACAACAGAAAAAAATTTATGATTTGAAATGGGTAATCGTCTGAAAACTTGCAGGACACTGTGTATCATTCCAGTTGGGGGACGTCTAGCACAATGAAGCTGATTCTTTCAGTTTGTTTAAAACACACGTAACAGATGATGACATGCCTTTGAGGACTGTACAGAGATCAGTAATGAATTACGTCACAGGTTATGAAAGGAAAACAGTGTCCATTTGTAAACACTAGTTTTCCAATTCTGATCTGAAATGACAGCTTTAGCCCTTTGTGTATCAAGATGTCCAGAAACAAGAAAACTTTACAGATGCACAAATCCAAGCCATGTTTCATTGAATGCAAATGCTACAGTGACCTGCGAAAGGAGGGAGGTGGGTGTCCATTTAAGAGAACGCTTTAATCACACGATTATAATACAAGAATAGAGGAAATGAAAGAAAAAGCAAGAGAGATAATGAGCGACGAAATCAAAGAGAGATTATAAAATACCACAATTTCTGAAAAGGGAAAGTCAGCATTCTAATAAAACAGTTTAAAAGCATTTTTTTGTAAATGAAGTACAGCTGTGTCGTCCTGTAAGGAGAGGGTTTCACAACGACATGCCGATGCCTTGATGTCCTCCACTCCAAGGGTCATTTACTGCACAGGAAATGAGCGGCAGAGGAGAAGCTCACTGCAGTGTATGTATGAGAGACAGCCTGCGCCACTAGAGCGATCGTACGTGTTCTCAGACTCTGTCAGTCACGCTTCCTTCTCCTTAAGCGTGCCCATTCACTCACAAAAGCTGAGCCTCTTTGTCTTTTCAAAAGCGATTTAGCTCCTTTTCCTCCAGAAGGCTTTGGCTTTTGTGAAAAACTGCATGTGTATAGCAGAGGGGAGGCGATGCTCAATGTAAAACACATGGCTGTTGTGTGGCATACGAGTTCGGAGGGAAAGAACATGATTCTTGTATGTATAAGTAATGCTCTTCATGCTGTAGAAGAATGAGTTCATAGTCGATATTGAGCCTCAGGTCCACACAAAATGTAGAAAAGAAGAGGTTCATATAGTAAGACTTGAGGCTGAGAAGAGGAAAGGTTCTTGTCCTTGGCCAAAATCATGGAGCTGTATGTACACATGGGCATCAGTAGCGTTTCTCTTCAAACAGGAGCGATCACTGAAGGCCCAACGTTATGAAGATGATGATGGCAAAGATGAAGGTTGCACTAGGAACATGTGCCACCCGTGCCGATCCAGGTACGGATGCGCCGCCGTGGGGGTCTGTGGCCAGTCTGGGAGTCAGGAGCAACTCGTGAAGCGTTAAGTCATCAATTGCAGGGAAAGAACTTGATTCTTGTATGTATAAGTAATGCTCTTCATGCTGTAGAAGAATGAGTTCATAGTCGATATTGAGCCTCAGGTCCACACAAAATGTAGAAAAGAAGAGGTTCATATAGTAAGACTTGAGGCTGAGAAGAGGAAAGGTTCTTGTCCTTGGCCAAAATCATGGAGCTGTATGTACACATGGGCATCAGTAGCGTTTCTCTTCAAACAGGAGCGATCACTGAAGGCCCAACGTTATGAAGATGATGATGGCAAAGATGAAGGTTGCACTAGGAACATGTGCCACCCGTGCCGATCCAGGTACGGATGCGCCGCCGTGGGGGTCTGTGGCCAGTCTGGGAGTCAGGAGCAACTCGTGAAGCGTTAAGTCATCAATTGCCAAGTTATCCGCCAAGTCTTAAAAGAAAAAGAGAGTGAGAAAAAAAAATTATGTGGACGGACATGCAAACATACAATTGTATCAAAGTCTGACTGAGTTTTGTAATACTAATGTTGGTTAAATAAAGCTATTATATGGCTTCAGACGAAAAGTCTCATATTGAGCGAATGGCTCTGAGTCTGTTCTTTTTAGTGAATCAAACACATTCCAAACAATCTGTGAAGTCCAATTCCTGAATGAATTATTTTAATGAGTCTAATGATTCTTTAAGCAAACATATACACTGCAACTACTGTAGTCTGACTTTAATGAGTCGGTTCTTTTGAGTAAATCAAACACATGCTATATAACCATGTTTATCCTGATTCCCGAACAAATGACTCTGAATCTATTCTTTTTAGTGAATCAAACACATTCTGAACAATCAGTGTAGTCCAATTCTTGCATTAGTGAGTCTTAATGACTTGGTTCTTTTTAGTGAATCAAACACATGCAGCACAACCAGTGAAGCCTGAATCCAGAATGACTCTCATGAGTCGTTTTTTTTTTTTAGAGAATCAAACACATGCTATTTAACCAAGTGTAGCACAATTTCCAAAGAAATGACTCTGTGTCTGTTCTTTTTAGTGAATCAAAGAAATTCTGAACAATCAGTGTAGTCCAGTTCCTGAATGAATGATTCTAATGAGTCTGTTCTTTCTAGTAAAGCAAACACATACAGTGCAACTAGTGTAGTCTGATTTCCAAACAAATTACTTTAATGAGTCGGTTCTTTTGAGTAAATCAAACGCATGCTATATAACCAAGTGTAGAATGATTTCCAGACATACAGGTGCATCTCAATAAATTAGAATGTCGTGGAAAAGTTCATTTATTTCAGTAATTCAACTCAAATTGTGAAACTCGTGTATTAAATAAATTCAATGCACACAGACTGAAGTAGTTTAAGTCTTTGGTTCTTTTAATACTGAAATAAATGAACTTTCCCACGACATTCTAATTTATTGAAATGCACCTGTATGTCTCTGAGTCTGTTCTTTTTAGTGAATCAAACACTGTCCGAACAATCACTGTAGCCCAATTCCTGAACAAGTGACTCTAATGTGTCAGTTCTTTTGAGTGAATCAAACACATGCAGCACAACCAGGGTAGCCTGAATCCAGAATGAATGACTTTAATGAGTCGTTCTTTTTGAATCAAACACATTTAGATTAAAACTACTGCAAAATTAAATTAGTTACAATTCACTTATCTACTATTTAATGTTTGTTTTCTGAAACAAACAAATAAATAAATAAATATTTTTTTTACAGTTTACTCAACTGCAATATGTCATTAAAATGTTCAGTAGATATTTTTTGTGACATTTATTATAGAATGTATGTGAATATGCTCTTTTTAAGATGTTTCTAACTCATGATTATAACATGAACATGAACATTTCCAGTCATCTCGGCGACGTATGTGTGCTTATTCAGTCTGGAAAAATAACTAATTTCATTGTCTAATAACCAGTCATTAGTTGTGTTATGTTGTTGTCTTACTGAAGTGAGTGAGGAATATGGCAGCATTCCAACTTAACACCATTTAACAATCTTTTTTCTTTACTAAAACTAAAACATCTTTTCATTTATCTCAGCATCTACAGATGAGGTGTACTGTCTGGCCAATGTCAGCCATGAGGGAGACATAACTATGAGGTGAAAATTATGAAAAAGGAAAGCGGATATCAGTAATAAAGTCAAGTATGGAGAGGTACGCCAGCTATGTGTCCCCTGTGAAGTGTCCTTCTAAACTGAGGAGAATCGTATTCGTTCAACACACAGATGAGTTATTGCATGTATATAAGCACATGCTCCCCTGCCTTATGTAGCACATACCTTAAATTCCTGTTCTCAGTCTGACATAACTAAACCATACAGGCAATATACAGAGAAAACATGAAACACAAAAACCTGGGATTTAAAAATGGAAATAAAAAAATCTTCAAATTGAGAAAACTTATAAATGTAAAAAAGACATAAAAAGAACGAGAAAAGACTTCAAGGTCACTGAAATGTACAAATGTGTGCTAAACAAGCTCTTTGGTTAATTTTCAAATCATGCTGGTGAACATGATTATCAGATTGTACACAAACTCATGGAGTGCATGTCAACTTGAACGCTGCTGGGGATCAAACCAAACAGAGACATTCTCAAACTCGCATTTTTTCACAGTTCAGCCTTTCACCCAAATCAAGCTTAAAAAGTATTAAATTAGACAAATGTAATTATTTTATATATCACCTTTTAAAAAGTGATTTACAAAAAACAAATATCATACCTAAAACAGAACTACAAAAATAAGAAAATTAAATGCATTAATTATGGTATATTATTCTCAACATCTTAGATTGCCCTTATACTTCTTTCAAATATTTTTTTAAATGTTGTATCTTTTCATATATCTATTTTAATCATTTTTTCTGTAATAGAATCTTATTTGCCAATTATCTGAATTCTTTTGAGCTCATTTAATTATCCAAACTCCAGGATGAGACAAGCATTTTCACCCCACTATATATGCATACAGATGTACACACAATAACCGAACATAACAAATGCAATCTGTGTTTATCATATAGTGATTACCTCAACAGTGGTGGAAGGCTGTGAGCATTTGAAGGGTCTGTAGAAATCAGTTTACTCAACATAATGAGAGATTTTTAATTATAGACACTTGGTCCCGTCCATATGTTAGCCTACTATTCTCTGCATCTTGAATTAAATTGACAGGAAAGATGTATTTAATCTACTAAGATCAAATGCCATATTTAATACCCTCCACACCAGCGACTTCACATTGCCTCCTTCGTTTGAGGGGAATTTTAACCCAACAGGGAGGAAGTCCACCATTTGGGCCAGCGGCTATGTAGTGGTGGGATCAACAGGAAGGCATGCGACTTAATTAATTCTAGGCCCTGAACTCAGCATGCCAGCCAGTGAGAACCAGGCCGAGAGCAGGAAAAGAGATGGAGGCCTTCTCTCAGGGGGTCCCCTGGATGCCCGGGGGCCCATTTCAGCACAGTCGACTTTAAAACAGAGGAAGGAGGCAAATAAATAAAGCCTCGGTGCTGAAACCTCCTCGAGATTTCTGTGCAATTACGACAGAGCTTGAACGCGCGCCAGAGAACGATTAACTTCTTCTTTCCCTCCGTCCACTGACAAGCCAGCGGTTAGACATTCCACGGGCCCTGAAAGGCCGATTTTTCATTGTGACAGCGGCAAGCTGTACCACTAGTCCAATTAAAGCCGAGATGTAATTCAATACAGCTTTTATACACACTACACCCTAAATCAGACGAGATGTGTTAGTGGGTATAGGCAAGAAAGTGAGGATCATGTGTGTGAGGTTATTGTTTGCCGTGCGAGTTCAGAGAGGTGCGAGTAAAACCCAAAATGTTCATAAAAATAAGAGGAATGGAGAATATGGAAATGACACAGAGTGCAAACCATGTATAACCCAGCTCCACAATGTGACTAATAATATCCTGTTATAATGAGCCGCGAACACGTGCGAATAATGATGTGAGTGACGGGATCCACAGAATGGCGGACGGTCCGGTTGACTCTTGTTTTGGATCTGATATCCACACGATGGCAATTAGTGGGATGGATGTGTGGAGGCTGGCATGCTAAATATAGAAAACAGACAATCCAACGGACAACGAATGAGCATGAGATAGCCTGACCAATTGCACAAAGGCTCGCAAAGCCTATCAGTTTTCAGCAGTATCAGTCTCCAGGGGTCTCTGCCATGCAAGTGGAGCTCTGACTGGCTTTATCACAGAGTTACGAGCTCCAGTTACGACACGGGTCAGAGGTCAACAGTCAGCCATTGATTGGTAATGGTGGGCTTGGACTGGCTCAATGCCCGCAGTGCAGTACATCACAGGCACGGCAAACAGGAACACAGAAACAAGTTTTAAATGTTTATTGCAGCCCTCCATAGTAAGAATAAGACACTAGCTGACTGCTTTAGAAGACTAGTTTGTTTCAAGACCTGGTTAAAGAAGATTTATAAGCTCTTAGGGTTTAAAAAGAGGTGATGAGGGTGTTTAAGTGCCTAATACTATATGCTTTGCTCATCTAAACTCAAGAGGATAATCTTTGTTCTTCCAAACAACTTCTAAACAACAAACAAACTGCTGCATGTAGTGTGTGGAGAATTCTTATTAGGATGTTTCATACTATTACTACAACTCTACTACTACAACTCTATTACTACAATTGTTTGGGTTAGAGATTTTAACAACTTAGACGTATATCTCAAAACAACTTTTGACATTAAAATGACATTTTGTTGATTTTACTTTGTCTATTAGCTTTGCCATGTACACTACTAGTCAAAGTTTGGGGTTGTTGTTTTTTTAATGCTTTTGAAATACGTTTCTAATGAAGTCTCTAAGGCTGCATTTATTTTATTTAAAAAAAAGTAAAATTGTGAAATATTATTACAAATTAAACTAACAGTTTCTGTGGTAATATATTTTCAAATGTAATTTATTCCTGTGATGCAAAGCTGAATTTTGAGCATCATTACTCCAGTCTTCAGTGTCACATGATCCTTCAGAAATCATTCAAATATGCTGGTTTGGTGCTCAAAAACATTTCTTATTATTATCAATGTTGAAAACAGCTGCGCTGCTTAATAATTTTGTGTGTGGTTTTTTTCAGGATTCTTTGATGAATAGAAAGTTCAAAAGAATCGCATTTATTTGAAACAGAAATCTTTTGTAACATTATAAAGTCTTAATACGGTCACTTTTGTCCTGGCTTTATAAAAGCATTATTTTCTTGAATTTTTTTTTTACATTTGTGTGTATTTCTGCTTTTTGCAATAAAATCACTTTTATGCCCATCGAGTGTAACCCTAGAGCAATACTCTGGGCTGGGCAATAAGACTCTGTTTGCTTTGTATCTTAATGTCTGTCGGGAGAGGATATTGATATAAAGCAGTTGGAAATTAAAATGTCCC